AAATTAAACGAAATAAACATTTGAAATATATGAGTTTGTATGTAATGTATGAATATAATATACAAGTTTCACTTTTTAAATGGAATTACTGAAATAAATCTACTTTTTCATGATATTCTAATTTTATGACCAGCACCTGTACAACAGGTAAGATAATTGTTAATGATCTTTGAACGAAGCTGTTAAATTTGTAGTCGAACATTGTTGTACCCTTAAAACAATGYATTAGAAGGTGATTTCAGGAGGTTGAGCCTCTACATCTAAAGAAACTAGAAGAGAAAATGTGTTGTGGACCCCCACTTTTATGAAGTCGGCAAAATCATGGCAACACATTTTAATGGTTTTGTTCATGGCAAAATATTTTAATTCTCTACTGAGTTAGTCAAAAAGGACAAATGTATTTCTTATCAAGCTGTAACAGCAACAGTGGTCCACKTTATTGAATGTTACTACACAACTCCGCTCCCAAAGTGGGGGAAAAAACCATATTTGTATTGAATAAATAATAAATCATGTTGGAGCAGACCATTAAAGCTTATGTAGTGTTCAGCCGGCCTTTGAAACCAGGTAATGAAGCCAGTTTTACTGGCATTGTTTTAAATGAAACATTTAATGTGCCGCTGTAATAGCTTTCCTGGCTGCAGGGAAGGTAAATACTCAGATGTAGAGAGGGCTGAGGAATTGTGGGAGTTGATATGTGACTCTGATTTTCAAGGTCTTGCAGCAGGCCAACAATTGCCTAGTTTGCTTGACATCGCTTTGCTTTCTCCTCTCCACGCCCGACTCCTCCGAGAGAGAACCCACACAATGTACCATCTTCAAAGCAGACAAAGACCTGCTGTGTGTATTGTTTGAGACAGATTTTGTAATTTGAAGAAAAAAAAAAGCTCTCTTAAGTGATAGCTAGGGAGCAGCAGTTTTTTTTTTTTTTTTTTTTGAAGCCAGTAGTGTGTGGTGGAGAAGGAGGCCAGATGGGATAAAGGAGAGCTGAAGCACTGGAGCGCAACACATGATTTCCCCTCAGATTTGTCACTTTCTGGGCTGGATGTAAAGCCCGGTGTGGACAGTCTCAGAGCTCATATCTTCGATTTCTGCTGTTCCATCTTCATGACATCTGTATTAGGGRGTAAACGCTAAAGGCTTCAGCAGGATCAGCTGTCAGGTGTCGGTGGCTTGACCTCTGAAACGAGGTTGAAAAAGGCAGAGGTTTTTTATTAAGTGCACATTTCTAGTATTTTTCATGTTRGATACAGAGCAGTGATGATTTTTTCTTACACATTCTAATGTTGTTGAAGTTCTTTCAAGCACAGAAAGTTGARGAACAACTTCAGTCTCTTTTCTTGCTCTGATGGTCCGTGTACTTTTTAATCATTCGCTTTTCATTTCAAAAACAGATATTGAAAAAAGGATGGGTATTCCTTACCATGGACGTCTTGGAGAAAGGCTTCATGTGCTAGAAGSTCCAGAAGGTCCAGGAAACAATTTAAATCATCAGTGACTGTCAGCTCACACCTGGTATTATGACAAACTAGTTAGCTAGCGTTTGTTTAGCGTGGCTGCCTTGTTTGCTAAAGTTTTTATTCAACGTTTTTAAGTCTGCATTTGGTTTTAAATTAGTTTTAATGMTGTTTCTAAGTACATGTACATGAATTAGCTCACACTGTTTGTAGCACCAGAACTAATGTGGTGACTGTTTTTAATTTGTATTTGATGTATTTTCAAATAAAAAAAGGCACCTGGTAAACTGGTAACTCTTTTTTCTTCTTCCATCATTTAATAGCCGGGTGTTTGCCATCATTACTGAAAGAAATCTTTAAAAACTTACAACCCTCAAAWTTTGTTTTGGACTCATTAGAATTAAACATAGTATCTCATTCATTGAGTGAATGTAATTTATTGAGGAAAAGTGCCTTGGTTCTCTATCTTAGAATAAAAAAATAATCCAGCTTTATGTTTTTATTGCCTAAATATAACTTTAAATAAAGTGCATTTTACAGTGTAAACAGGAGCTAATCACTGTGTCCCACAATATTACTCCTATCAAACTCTGTGAAGTAATGTTGTCTAATGTGTCTGACAAAGCATCTTCTTTGTCTGTTAACMTTCACTCACTAATTTGACTGACTGTTGGACACTCAGGCAACTGCCTGATAACACTATYGCTCCACTTGTGATGTACGACTTTTGCCTCCCAGTGCCTGATCTAGACAGGTCAGCTCCTGCAATTAAAAAATATGTTTAATTCTCTCATCTGGTCTGCATGTGAACTCAGTCAAATACAAATTGGGTAAATTCTTTGTGTGCTTTACAKTTTTCATTTGTGTATTTATTGCCAGTAAATGTATTTGGTTTGAGATTTTAAAACGTGGGAAATGTTGCTGAGAGTGAACACTTCTGCCCCTTCTTCTCTCCGTCTGTGTTTGCTTGTCTCTTACTGTCAGTCGCTCAGTCTAAAACCTGTTCAGTAYGTCCACGTCATCAATTTGGGACCGCTTCTTCAGCTGAAGACGGTGTCTTGACAGGGCTGTCTGGTCTCTGTGGCTCTTAAACTGACATGATGGATAATATGATGAAGGATCCCTTCTGTCATCCAGATGCCCAATTAGAGTCCGTGCTATGGCTGGCTGGTCTGGTCTAAGAAGCCAGAGGGCAGCATCAGTCACTCAGCCGACCACACTAACTTCTTTTTTTGGCWGTTTAATCTATTGGTCACCTGATGCAGCAACAAAAGAAGGTCTCTGTTTGCTGCTCTCCTCTCTCAAGAGGGACTTTAAGAAGGCAGAGAGCAATGTGTTCCTACCTCTGAGCTCTAGAAACTGATCACAAACCACTCACACTGAGCCATGTGTTTGTGTGTATGTGGTCATTCGTAAGAGGTTTAATTTCCACTGGGGTCTCTGACACAAAGGTGTATGCACTCCGTTAAGCAATAACGTTGGGAACAATCAGCTTTGACTGGAGGAAATGTAATGTAGMAGCAGTGAAACACAACCTCAAYTGTGTTTTTGGTTTTTATACACAGACTGCTTTTATTCATGAGCTCAGAAATAATACCTGATGGGTTGTATTTGTGTGTATCAGCTTACAGCACATGAATGTGACAGTTTATTAGAGGAAATAATGCAAAAACAAGGAAGCACACTTCTTACTGTTTGAATGTTTAGTTGCTCTTTCTGCAGCTTTAGGAAAACGGATACAAAAACAATATCAAACAAAAGATTTAGAACAAGTGCTGATTTTTCCCATGGAGGGTCCTTAATTTGTCCCAAGGTCAGATTGTGAAATGCTCAAAATAACAAAACAAAGAAACACCACAGCTCTATCTCAGACTGTACAGGTCTCAGGTGGTGGGGTAAAGATTAAAGGGGCAGTATTTTGGAGCTAAATTGGGATCATAAGTTTTGTTCAAAACAAACAAAAAAAATTGGAAACTGAAAAAAATCTGGAAAAGTTTCAAACAGCTTGTCTTTTCAGTTTCAACAATTTTTTTTTCATTTCAAATATTTTTTTTCAGTTTCAAATTATTTTTTTTTTCAGTTTCAAATAATTTGTTAGTTTCAAACTACGGAGCCGTGAGGGGTCAGTGGGAGAAAATAAAAACAGCCGCTGGAAATCCGTGCGCACGGATTACTAAACTGTGAGCTCGGATTACTAAACTATGAGCACAGATTACTAAACTGTGCTCACAGTTTCTGCAATCTGTGCACACGGATTACTGACATCTGGACGGTGGTTGTGTGAACTGTCGTTCATCAGCTCAGAAAGTGCTTAAGGAGTGTTTTTTGTTCACTAAAGTCAAAGTACAGCACAGAAAATGTTGGACTTTGAGTATGTTGYACAGTTTTTGTCCCTCTATCAGGCAGTTTTGGTACCAGGTCTCCTAAAGGCTGTTTCAGCTCTGATCAGATCATCACAGGAAGCCACTCGGAGCCTTTCTGCCCGTGGTGATTAGATGTTTTTATGGTTTCACTGGCAATGGGGAAGTTTTGCTAAAGTTAKCCAGCTGCATTCTCAGGATTGTATCTCAAAAGTACTGAATAGATTTATGTTGAACTTTTAGGAAATGTTTATTACTCTTTCAAAAACATTTATTAAACCACAGAAACATTTGAATAAAGTTTGAAACATTTCAGAGTAAGAGCGGGGCCGCGGCTCCCATCAGGTCGTCATTCTGCAGATGAAGCTCGCCACACGGGGACATTTCTCTGCAGCAAGCCGCTCGGAGGTTTTCTCCAGCTGTTCTCAGATGTTTATTCTCTTTCACAACAAAAGTGGGGACGGGAGGGTGGAGGAGGCTAACCTCCGTTTCAGGATTCATTTGCCTGGAAAATATGAAAATAAATGTTAACCACGTTGGATTTTGATGAAACTTTCAGGGAAATTCTGTGGCTAAGTGTGCTGATGAGAMCACAACAGTCTCTTAATTTTATATACGACAACAGATCCACTGAATTTACCTTGCAGATGCGGCCTTCGCACCATACGTCCAACCTGTCAACAGATCTAAGCAATCTGTGWGGAYGGATTGCAGAAACTGAGAGCACAGTTTAGTAATCCRTGCGCACRGATTGCAGAWACCGTGTGCACGGATTARTAAACTGAGCGCACAGATTGGTAATCCRTGCGCACRGATTCCGGCGGGTGYTTTTTCCCCTCCTACTGACCCCTCAAGGTCTCCGTATCAAACTTAGCTTTTCCATTTTCAAAACTATTTTTCAGTTTCAAATCTCCTTTTTTAAGTTTCAGTAATTTTTWAACAAACCTTATGACCCCARTTTAGCTCCACAGTGTATCATGTCATTTCCAGGYACATATTTCAGTTCTTTACCACAATCAAGTAACCATGTTGTGCTCAGTTGTTATGAAAATGCTGTTTAGATCARAAATAAAWTTGATTTTGCATCATRGTCTWTCTAAACACCTTGAAATTGTCTCTTTAAGAACCCCCTACCATTTCTGACATTCCAMCTTCAGCAYATTTTCAAATAGTGCTTTGTACAAATAATCAGTGCTTTGTACCAGCAAGTGCTTAGGCAGCTCTACGTGGCTACCAGAGGAGATTCAAGGATTTCTCAAACATGCATGAATGAGTCAACACTCTGAGTGTGTTTTTGATGAGGGAATAACATTATAACATGATATAAAGCTCAAAAAAGACAATTTTGCATAATACCCCTCTTTTAAAGTTTTTGACAATCAGGAAAAAGACTCAAAAAGTGTGACTTGTTTGAGAAGTAAATGTAAAGGGTTCATATTTTTGATGAAATAAGACACCGGCTGTGTCTCAGTTCGGGTGCTGAGTTTTTCATTGTCTGCATTTGTCGGCAGCTTATGCCACTGCCCCGTGATGAAGGCTGTTCTAATTCGTGGACTCCTTCTCATGTGGCCCACAAAATTCCAAAAATGAAGGCTGGAACTGAGCATCTTTCCCAGCTGAGGACATTCCAGTTGTTGTAGTTTAGAAATTCATCACAGACTGAATCATTTGTTTGTAAATGTTTAGTAACTCAGCTGATGAAATTTAAGCTACAATGAAATATAAGAAAAGGTAACTATAAGTATTGATACTGGAGATAAACCCAAATTATTATTGCATTTTATTTGTTTGTGTGTAACTTTTTAACTGTTGTTCCTCTAGTGAAAAGATGTGTGAATWCATGTCCCAATGCATTTTAAGTCTAAAGGCATGTGATATATAATGTATCTCCATCGTAACGGGATAATACATGGTCACACAAACAAACGTCATCCGAAAACTAGACCGTCTCATTTCACGGATGTTTTATGCAGCCTACTTTGATTACAGAGGCTGTGGTCTACGTGGGCTGTAGTCTAGGTAGGCTGCAGCCCCTGAATTGGGACTCACTCACTATCCTATTGTCACTCTAGGAGTCATGACATCAGATTCCAACAATACTCAGAAAGCTTGAAGGTACCTGGTTTCTTTAGTTGGTGAAGGGTGTTGTCTTCTGAATGTCTTGTGATGCTCGGGGTGCTTCTCATTTTCCTGCATAGAGGAACATGTTCAGCTCAGGTACAACGCTGCCRCTCACTGCATGCTCAGCAGAGGTGACGATAGATAGATCAGCTGGAATTATACAGTGATAATACCTGCAGCTTCCTTATTTTAACGTTTCTCAGTTGACAGACGACCCATGTTTATGAAGCGAGCCTCACCGGACCTGTAAAGGAAGCAGTGGCAGTAAACCCCAGTTTTTACAGGATGTGAGGGGAGCATTTAACAGATCAGGGCCAAGCTGACGGTGTGACTGCAAAGCGAGAGGGTCAGAGAGCAGCAGCAGATTACAGCTGGCATGCTGTTGGCTTGKTACAGGATGATACGAACTGCTGAATAAATGATTACAACAACCTCTGTGGGCCGCAGGGGAGTTAAAGGACCAACCCGCTACATTTCAGCCACGTCTTTCAGCTAATATATKTATCTCTGTATCTCATTGGAACGCTGCTGGAAACGCTTCACGAAGGTCAATAAAACGTGGCAAAATGAAAACTACATTAAAATAAAATACTCCGACCAAACTAACCCACATGAGAGACGGTGTGGGCCAGATCTGGTGACCAGATGGCACTGCTGGCATGACAAGTGGTTTGTCAACCGTATGTGGGCCAGGTCTGGCAATGATGGCACTGTTTTTCAGGTGGCATGTTACAGCTGGCTTTGTTGTGGTTTGGTTTAAGGTTTAAGTGATGGCCCGTGCATTGACCACCTCTGGCAAACTATATCTGGTCACCCTTGAAGGAATACTGATCTTTCATCACCTTTCTTACCAGAAAGCATARTCTTAGTCAACACTGAATGGCAAAGATCATCCAATTATGAAATATTACAAAGATAAGGCTGCTTTAGTTGAATATTGAAAAAAAAACATCACTTGACACTTGAAGCTATCAGGTTTTATAGCAGGCAAAAAACCCAGGGCGCAGACAGGTTCAAARATCGAAAACAAGGCTTTAACATAAATCAAAAGGGTGGCAGTGCAGCACAAAAACTCACTCGAAGTCACAGGAGACACGGAAGCAGGACACAATCAGGGGAGGTTGAACAATGATCCGACAAAGACAGAAGACAAGACTCAGACAAWGGGAAACACCTGGGGRAACACAAGMGRWGACAGGTGAGCTCGGGCGGGGCTGCAGGGCAGAGAAACACAGGGAAACAGAAAAACGCTAGAAAATGAAGACAAAAACACTGATCATGACAGGAGCATGTGTCATGATGATTCTCAGCTACTACCACATTAAACCTTAGCTTGATCTGTACAATTGACTGAGTACAGCCATAGTTTTACGTACGAGAGTTTGTACTGCACTGGTGTCAAGCGGACATTGACACATGACCAGGAATCTAAAAATAGAGTGGAGGTCTCCATTGGATCAAGTGACAGGTTTTTCCTGCTGAATCAAGTCTCTGTGCTGTTAGACCAACTGAGTCAGGGGAATAATTATCCATATGATTAAAATCAGAATGTTTACTTGTGCGACACATTGGCTCAGGTTCAAACAGGCGGGGGTGCCACCTCTCCCAGAGGTAATCAGCTGCATTTTTGGGGTTTTCAGAGGTGAGCATGGGGAAATTTAATCCAAACCAACTCAGCAGGGAGTTGTGGGGGATTAGGACTTTTGTAAACATGTGAAGCAAGGAGCCCACAAAGAGCTGGAGGGAATGATTTGTTCCTCTACAGATCTGCTTAACAGAAACATGTTGCTATCAGGGTGTTTGTTTGCAGAGAAAAAAACAAACCATTTCAGGACAGGGAGAGTATAACAGGAACAGACAGGACGGAGGAATGAGCTAATCCTACTTATGTAACATGGTGGGGTGCTGCAGMGGGACCCACCACAGCTTTATTTGCATTACATAAAAAAACATATAAAAAATCACCTGTGAAATTACAGCTGCTCCTTTTAGCAGCTCCTTTGCACATTGTCACAAAAACACAACAAGCTGAACAGGAGATAATTACTTTTTATATTGTGTTCGTGACRCATCTTTTTAAGTAGAACTCTTCTGTGATGAAACAAGTTTTTGAATGAAGCCTTTTGTTTCCCCAAAGATTGTGATGAAGGTARTTAAAATGAAAAGCCCTGTTTAAAAATTCATGGTCAGCGTACTGTATTTAGGGCAGATTACAGAGACGTGTAACAGACCTAAAGTATTCACAAACACAATGATGCATTTGTGTTTCTACTTCCCATTCCTGCCATGTTTAACAGCTACTTATTATGTATTTATATATTCAGCTGACTCCCACTACATTTGGTTTCATTTAGCTTTCTGCCCGTGACTAACCTATATTGAGACATTTTGTCATGTCGTAAACATGTTTAACACTTTTGTTTTTTATGATTCTCTGGTTTATTTATTGATACTGTATTCTCTTTTGTTTTGCTTCCAGTGCATTCTCTTTTTAATTGTAACATCTGGATGTTCTCACCTGGCAGATTTATTCTTTATGGAGATAATTGGGTGTTTTGCCTGTTTTTGTTATTTAGTGATGTCATTATAATATATCTCGGTGGGTTGACTTTACATCAAATAGGCGGAGCTTTGTACCAGCCAGTGTTTAGGCAGCTACATGTGACTACCACAAAGTTCAGAACTTGAACCAGTTTTGTTATTTTTCATGTGTCACTCTGAGACGACTCAGACCTTATTCCAGGAATTATCTAGCCCCTCTGGCCTGTGAATGGGAAGAGCTGGTGAGTGGTTTATTTTCTGGACCTAATGCCTAAATGTTGTTTATTAWGCAGATGACACTAGGTTTTATTCATGTACAAAATAAACTCATTTTGGTTTTAATTATGTATTTCCACATTCTTGTTTATGAGGTTTGTTTTCTTACATATTAAAGTATTCACTAATTCACAATAATAATGTACTGAATGTGACTGTATTGTACTTTAATGGGATTAAATTGACTGTTTGTAATTGAATTTGATCTATGCTGTTCCCTTATATATTTCTCAAAATTCAGGAAAAAAAACAAAACTGTGTGTCTTTTTTGTAAAACTAAACAATTTCCAGACTCAGAGCTTGGTACACTGAGTTCTGCAGTGTTCATCCTGACAGATACCAAGATGTTCTCTTTTAGTTTATCTCCATTTGTGAATCTTCAGCCTTGAGCCCAGTTTACTTTTTCACTGAAGATGAAACTGAAGCACAGATGGCAGTAAAGTGTCAACCGTGTGTTCTGCTAACCAAAACTCCTTCTGTAAACTTTGTTCTCTTGTTGAYGGCACACAGTCACGTCTCATGACCTGAATAAATCTGTGAATGATTTATGCAGCAGATGCTTCTCTCAGCTGATGTGAAGTAAYGTCAAGAAATTTGACACCTTTTCCATAAAAACAAGCTTATCCCTTCAACTGTGATGAATAAACCTGAAGAGCAAGGGGAAAAAAATTGATCCCCTGCCTGCCCTTGTGGGTCTGTTAAGACAAGATACGGAGGATTTTTTTTCTACCTTTTTCTTAAACTTTCTGGAGGCAGGCTGAGATAATCCCCTGTGGATGGAAAATATCTGACCCAGCCGCTGATTTCTGGAGGCCCTGCTGCGCCTCAATCATGGATTAGCGGAGCTGAATTGAAATCAAATGTTTGAAGGAGATGTGGCCGACGGGGCAGRGGTGCCACCCAGGTGTGAAGCTGCTCACATTTACAGTCATGGTTTGGTTCATCTGCGAATGCATGAAATTTCCTCCCTGGAGCTTGCGTCCTAATGAGGTCATTAGAGCGGTGGATGCAGCAGGAAAGCCTCTGCAGGAGCGTCTGCAGTCTGCTTCTCTGCACACGAGGAGGAAGATAAATAATATATTCACTCATCTGCACGYAGAATTGGGTGTGAAGGTCAGCTCTCTGAAATGAGAAGCGGTCGGCCTCAAAATGTGATTTCTGCTTCATTTCCAGGCTGCGACATTAACACAGACCGTGATACGTTCTGCACAGCAGCTGCTGCTGACGAGCCACGACCTTAACACAGTTTCTGCAAGTTCTCTGTCGTTTTCAAAGACTTTGCAGTCAGAGTCCGTCGGACGGCTTTGGTTTTGTCTTTAGTTGCTATTTGAAGCACTTTGACTCATTGTTATTGTTCGCATGAATTCGGACACATTTTTTTTACTTTTTGTTAATTTTGATTTCGTCAGGGATTTCAACTTTTGCATTAGTTCAGTTGGCAACTGGTTTACACTATAAAAACCTTTTTTATGTTAATGTCTGACATATTGGCAGCACAACGGCTCAGTGGTTAGCACCAACGTCTCACAGCAAAATGGTCCTGGGTTCGATCCCCAGTTCAGACCTGGGGTCTCTCTGTGCAGAATTTGATTGCTCTTATTGTGCTTGCGTGGGTTTTCTCTGGGTACTCCGGTTTCCCTATACCACCAAAAACATGTACAATTACCTTCAGGCCCAGGCCTCCCTTGAATAAAAGATCTAATCTCAGCCGACATGGTAAATAAATAAAATCAGACTAAAGCTTTTTAGATCAGTTGAGACCAGTGGTGGGCAGCACTAATCTAAAAATTAGTTCCACTAGCCCTAAAACACTAACTCAAATACTTAGGTCCCCTAATTCTAAAGCACTCACTGAAAGTATCAGGTTTTCAGGTATAAGTCAAAGATGAGCAGGTTTAACAGACAACAGACACGGAGACCAGATAAAAGGTAAGTGTTATTTTATTTACAGGTGGTAGGGATATGTACAGGGGATCCAGGCTGCGGAGGGAAAGGGAAGGAGGTGAGTATCCAGGTAAGTACTTTGGCTGAAGGAGGAACTTGAGATATAATAATAATAATAATAAGAGATCTTACAGTTCGAGGAGGCGAGCGACACGTA